GATTCTCGGAAGGGAAAGCTATGGAAATCAAAATTTCATCTGAATACAGACTCATATATTTTTAAAAATCAAGGCATTTACATTTATAACATTCCTGTTCTTCACAGAAAAAATCATTTGGAGGTTATATCTTTAGTTGAAATTAGGTTATAAGAGCTCGTGCATTTTGTCACATTGCTTCAATCTGAGAGATGCAAAAAAAGAAAAAAAGCCAATCAATAACCATAATTATAATTTTCTTCTCATTGATTGCTCAGAAGTCTTCAAAGGCACTTCATTAATTTAAAGTTTCTGTGCAAAATGTTTAGAATTTAAAAATCCTTTCCTAGGGAAAAAAAACAAAAATAAAAATTGTTCAATGCAGACAAGTTAGAATTTATAGTGATGTCCAAATTCTACAAAGGCTAATAAAACCAGAAAAGAAATTCTCGTTCTAAAATATGTTAGGAGTTTTGTTAGTTAAGTATTACAAGAAATGACCATATGGCCATTTTTTATTAGCAATGTGATAGCCTTGTCAGATGACAGCTTTACATGGGTATTTATTATTAGGAAGCCAATAAAAACTAATACTCAAATTAGTGCAGTTCAGCTTGCCTGTTCCTCTCTAAATTTGAGCAGTTGTGCCTTGCAATTCAGTTACATATTTCCAATACAATGTTAACTTCACAATTCCTGCATGTCATTTGATGTTTTTTTAGACTTGAATTAACAATATCAACAGCCTTTTTTGTGTGTCCCTAAATGCAACGTAATCTGAGATCAGTGATATTTGCCATAAGTGACTGCATTCAGGGCATAGTTTTAATCTGATTTTAATTTGCGTCTGGCTAAAACATCTTATCTAATCTTTGGAATTCTTTTTCTCTAATCAGGTTTTTTTTTAAAATCTTACTTATTGAAGAATTCAGAAAAACCTAAAACCTTATATGTTATTTGAATAATTTTGATTAGTCTTAATGAAAGAGTTGTTTTCTTATGGATGTTGTATAATCTTGTTGGTTTCAGGTTTTTTAAAATTAATTAATTGCTTAATAGAAGACAGGTTTTTTTTTGTATGTATGATTAGGTAATTATTTTCTCAGTAGCTAAATGGGGAGCACAGTTATCCAGCATTTTAGCAACAGCAGCATTTTTATAACCTAATGGAAAACCTAAGATGGTAGGTGACCTTCCTTTCAACTAAATAATGCTTTAAACTTTTATGCAAATGAGCAGTACTTTCTGATTTGTTCCACAGAAACAATGAAAAAGATTACTCTTGTTTCTTCCAAATCCAGAATAATATGCTACCGAATTAACCTTTATTTTCAAAGCCATGTAATATTAAAAACACTTCAAAGTCCTGTCTGTGGTACAATGTTCCAGATTAAGTGGTTTGATGGTAGAATTAATGTAAAACATCAGAGGGTTCCCTATTCAAGTATTTATGTTTTGAATCAGAACTTTAATCTGCTTTTTCATTTCAGTAATACCATTATAATTGTAATGCTTTTCAACAAATAACAGCTTGTTACATACTAATCATGTTGGCGACAAGGACACATGCTCTATTATGATGAAAAATTGCTAGAAATCTATTTGTTTATTAATTAACAGCAATCCCTGTTGTTCCTATGGAAACAATGAGACTTTCAGATCTGATTCCCAAAACATGCTTCAGAGTGCATGTGGACATGGATATTGCAACTTAAAAGCAGCCAAGTCTTTATACAGAAATGGCAGACAGCAACTATTGGTTGGATGCTTGGTGGACTGGAGGAGTAAATTTATATAGATTACATAGTAAAAGGGAACTCCCTCCCTCTTTTAATTGTACTTTCCTTGGCCATGATAAACCATTTAGATAAGAATGGGGGAGTGAGTTTATAATGGTGGTGGAACTATGTGAATTGCATTCTTGTTTGATTATAAAGTTGAAGGAGCATAATATTGGCAGAAGCTCACAATCTATGGTGGCAGCATGACATGGAGTGGAAACTTTTTTATTTTTCATAAAATGAATTTTATGATTACAAAATCCACAAGCTAGAAGTAAATTCCAAAACATCTGAAAGGTTTTCTTTTTCTTTTTTGTTCATCTAACAATAAAAAACAAAATAACCAAGGCTGTATTAGATTAGGTGGTTTGAGTAAATGGTTTGATGATAGAATGAACAAGGCTAACAGGAAACTACAGAGCTATTTACATCAAGGAACTCATCTTCAAAAGTATATATACATCATTATCATCTTATATCAATAAGCCAGCATTCTCAAAGATGGTGCCACCGAAATACATTAATCTGACTAAAAATGTTGGGAGTTGTACTCAGTTACATCTGAAGAGTTCCAGTTTGGAGAAGACAGTTGTAGACAATGAAGAAATAAAATATTTCCATCCTCACAGGCTCTGGTTGAATCTTGGCTGATCTCAATAAGTCAAGCAAAGCTGGACCTGGTTAGTGTCTGAATGGGAAACTTTCATGAATATCCAGCTGAAAAGTAAATAATCTTAGTAATAACAAACTAATGCATAGCATGGCTGCTGTTATAATTGAATACTTGGGATGCAAAATCAATAAACAAGAAAAAAGCAAACGGTGTACCACCAAAATGGAAAATCAGGTTTGAAAATAAGATGCAAGCAAGCTAGAACAGATGAAAGAAAAGAAGTTGAAAAACAAGAGGACCACCTAGAAATATCACCTAGAAACAAGGAAAATCAAGGAAACAATGGAAATAGTAAATTGTATTGATATACTTGGGACAAGTTACCTGAATGAATGCATTTGACATTGGAAAATTTGTGTCTCCAACTGGATCTGTGGGTTTCCTGTGGGACTTTTTCATCTGATTGTGACCTGTTCTCTTGCCTTTCAACTCCCTTTTGGTTGTGAGAGACTCTGGTACCCTGGCTTCCAAAAACCACACCCACCTACCTACCTACCTACCTACCTACCTATTGGTTGACTGGTTAAATTCCACTACAGATCTGACAGTTAGTCTTCTAAAAAAACAACAACATCAACAACAAAAGATCAGTGTTGCTTTTAGCAGATGTAGCATTTGCCTCTCTGCAATGTTCAAAAGTATTGAATAATTTGTGAGACCTCTTAGACGGCCCTAATTTGGTTTGAATCGCTTTAGGAGAGTACTGCTTGCATTCTGTTTTTGTGGTGTCACAGACTATTTCAGATTTAAATTTTAGGTGAATTCTTAGCCTCCAAACAGTTCAGGCACTAGAGGAATCCTTTAATTCGCTGTGTTTTTGCTTCATGATTCTATCTTCCATCTTCCTGCGCCCTTTCAAATGCTATAGTAAGCAGACTTCTGAAGAAGCACGATTCTCTGCACAAGCATGATTTAGTCTTTCTGTCTCACATTAGCTATATACATTTAATCATATGCATTGTTTTCACAGCTCATTTTTTCCCTTTCTCTTTTATATAATATATCAAGAAAATGCCTTGTGGTGTTCATGTTGCATTCTAGAAAATATGCCTGAAATCAGCATTTCTTAGACCTGTCTTTGATCAACAAAAGGCCTATTTTAAAGCAGTCCCCTAGCAATTTTCAGAATTTATATGAAACAAGCCTGGTCCATCTTGTGTCAGTTATGTTTCTTAAAAAAAACAAAACAAAACAGAACAGCCTTTAGATTCAGAAAAGAACCTGCTGCTTATAATGCATTTAAATCTAGTGGCATCCATGAAGGTGCAGCAGAGAGAGGGAGGGAGAGATCCAATGGGATTCTCATGCTTCTGTTTTGGCATGTTGTAAAAGGCATTCTCAGCATGGAAAGTATCACATTGTTTAATATAGTGATTAAAGTTTAGGAATCAATGAGGGAGGAGGAGGAGGAGATTGTTTACCATCAAGAACATAATGGAATTAATATCATTTATTATCTTTATATGTCACATTTCATTTAGGCAGCTGTACTTTTTCTTACATTATATCTAGTGTACCTCAAAGGTAAAAAAAGAAAGGTAGCAAACAGGTTTATCATCTATCCATAACAGCAATATCAAAGTTGCTATTTTCAACACATAATGGTGAAAGATTAGGATTCCACAAGAATAAAAGATAATGATGATTCTTTAGATTTATATGGCACATTTCATTCGGGAGCTAAAGGCAGCATATATCCTGCACCAAGCACCATGTATAGTGCTGCCTCCTATTTTTCCCTACCACAACAGTCCTGTGAGGTAGGCTGATCTGAGAGAAAGTGACTGGCCAAAAATCATACAGTAACACAAAGTGGTCCTAGTTCAAGATCTTAACTATCCTACTACATTGGAATCTACCATTTATAAAGTTTTATTGCCCGTTGAAAAATATTTGTTTGTTTTCTTCATTTGCTAGAACTTTTCAGTATTTTGAGATTTTTTTATTGGCACAAGCTGATAGAAAGTGGTGACTGACATGCCTCATGGGCCCTGCAAGCAGAGCTTTCACATTGGAACCCAGGGAGACCCCAGATTAGTTTGAGAAATGATTGTACAATGAAAGTGGAGTCAGACTCATAGAGAACCCTAATAACTATGGAGGTTCAAATTCCTCGGATGTCATAACTGAAAATTTAACAGAATTTGTTTTGCCTTTGAAAGGTATTTATATTTTCCGTTCCACTGAATGAAACTTATTTAAAAAATTAAAGAGTGGCTCCACTTGAAGTGCTAGATTCAGGTCCTCCAAGCTGTTAAGATGGAGTCATCTTTCATTTTTGTTTCTCCCCTTCAATTCATATATTCATTTTTTTTAAAAAAATCACCTATTCTTTCTATTCCCTGAAAGAAGAAACAAACTGTATACCCGTTGGAAATTTTTTGTAAAAAATCAAACTTAATAAAATTCTTAGCCATCCCTATTTTGGAATAAGAAAAATGAAAAATGAGTGCAAACATTCATACTGAGCTGTGATTTAATGTGAGCATAAAGCTATAGATACAATCAATGTATTGATTCTTATTGACAGTTATGATACTTCTATTCTCTTCCTTTTCTGCCCTTAGCTACAGAATGCCTTCCAGAAGGACATCGTATTCTCCATCATGCCTATCGTAGCATCAATTTTGATTCTCTGGAATTGCAGGAAAAAGCCATTCAGGACATGATTTGTGATCATTCCCTTCCACAAGGCTGGTATCGCTTCATGATTGAAAACAAGCCTGCAGAAATGCCAACTAGGTGTATCGAAGTAAGTGAGATAAAATGAAATGGAATGAAATGTGCTCTCTCAATAAGTCTTTCATAAACCCAGGTTCTCCCAAACATTTGAGCTTGCAGCCCTACAAAAATGCCCATCAACTCCCAGAATCCTTAATCCTCTCCTACAATATTTAGGATTTCTGCGGTGACAGACCCTCAAAAACAACTGATAGGCACCAGGCTGGAGAAGAATTTTTTGAGTACTTGAGTGGCACCATCTTGCCTCAGATGCACTCTTCTATCTTAATTAGTGAGTACGGTACATTAAAAGAGAACAATGTATGATTAGGAGCACAAAGGAATTTCCTCATCCAGGGAACAGCTTGATATACAGATCTAATCAAATTTATTTCTTTTTATATGCAAATGAATTCACCTCATGCTTTCTGAAGCTCAAAAGATTCATCTCACAGGCTGAAATATTATTAATAGTTCAACACTTCTACTGTATTACAGCTCAAAGCCACTGCTGACATGTTTTGAGTCATATGAAATATGTGGTTGGATTAAGTGGCAAGTGTGAAGCAATTCAAGAACCTATTTTTTATTTTCATTTTTTTTTACAGGAAGTTTTTAAATAATGCATTATCTGCTGCTGGGAAAGTAGGTAATTTAAAATATATTGGGCATTTGCTTGACGGAAAATCTTCAGCAGCTCTGATCAGTGACTTAAAGGTTATAGCACCTTTGAGGTTTTACTTCTTTGATGGATAAGTTCTTGATTCAAAATAAATAATATATTACTTTGCTTCTTTTATAGATAACTTTGTAATTCAAAAGAAATAATAACTTTCTAATTCAAAGCACCACCTCACTTAAAAATGTCTTCATTTAAACCACAACATTAAAATAGGATTCAAACTGAAATAAGGAAGTTCTGATTTAAAAAAAAATAAAACAATAAAGCTTATTTAAAAAGCAGTCACTCTGAATTTGGAACAATTTGCGTAGCTCTTGTGACTTCAAAAAAATTTAAACTCTAATCTAACTTAATAGCTTAATAGCTTCCTTCTAGAAAAGATCAAAATGGCCTGATTAACACTATCAATTTGTTGACTGTGTGTATATCCCATGACTAATGAATTTCAAGGTATAGTTAACCAGTTATCCCTATGATTAACAAAGAACACAATTTGTTAGTAAACGGAAGCACTGCTTTTATATACTTACTAACTGTGATTCCTGTTATGATTCTTTGCAACAAGATATATAGGCTACTATGTGATCCAGATGGGTTTCCACTTATTTAAATATTACATATACAAATGTACAGATATACCGTATGAACTGGGCTTCATATGATTTCAGATACGTCATAAGAACATGTATATAAGCTTGCTTACTCATGACATATACATGATGCATTCATGATTGTTTTATGTTTATAAATATTTCATATCATTTATTTTTCTACTGAAACTTTTTCAGTGACTATATTAAAGGCAGTGTGAATGCAGTCATTGTTTCACTTCTACTATTAAGAATCTTTCTTCATTCAGAAATACCTTGTGGTGCAATGGCATTAGGATCTATGTGTTATCAGACAAAAATGTATGTATTTTAGTTGCTAATTGCTACTTAACTCAATAAGAGTAAATCCATTAGAGCTGAACCAAATATATGCAGCAGAGTTAATAACATCTCATTTAAATTATATTAATCAAACTACTCCAGATGTGAAATCTGCCGTAAGCTTTCAAGCCTTTTCAATCTTGCAACCTCATATTTCAATATGAATTAATATGAACTAGGAATTGAAATGTAAATGGGCTGGTCACCTAGCAAGAAGGACTGATGGCAGGTTGACCAAGGCAGTCATAGAATGGATCCCACTTGATAAAAAGCATCCACAAAAGAGGCTTAAAATAAGATGGGTAATGACATCAGCAAGTATTGAGGGCCCAATTGGCAAAAGGAAGCTCAGGATCGTATTGGTTGGAAACATGCGGAAGAGGCCTTCACCCTGCAGTGGATAGACAATGGCTAAAATGATGATGATGATGATCATGATTTCACTAACATTTACAGGAAAACTAAATGAATGAAATATATTGAAACATACCTTAACCGATATGGCATATGCTCAGGACATGTGATGCCAAAACTGAGATATTTTTTACTTTTCAATTAATTTAAATGGAACATTTAATATGTGAGGCTCTAAACAGCCTGTAACCATCAACCAGGAAAATAAATGTAAGTGAGAGATTCACACATGAACTTTTACTTATATTTAATAACATACAGTATCTACACAGACCATAAATAAACCAGTGCATGATTTCTCCCCACATGATTAGGAATTTCAATCCGTGAATATTCAATCAGCAGTAGCCTATAAGTCATTTGATTATCTAAATCCTGAATAAACAGGATAAAATAGATAACTCAAATGTAGTAGAGTAATGCTAGCATATTTATCATTTAATTGAAATGGGCAGCTCTTCCACTTTTTTTAAAAAAAAAAATTTGATATTTGTCCATCAAATAATTGGATAGATTAACTATGAGTGGTATATATCTATCCCACAGTAATGCTGCCTAGATTAAGCATATCAGCAAAATATGAAAATGAACAGTGAGAAATAGGCTAGACAATGGGATTTTAGATTCCATTAAAAATATTTTAGCTGAATTTTAGCCAAATACATGTTAGCTTTAATATTAGAAACTAATTTATTTTTTATTTATGTAATTGATTTGTAAAGCCACCCACCTCAACAAGGGTGGCAAACAAGAACAAACAGAATATCAGCAATAGCACAGATGCAAAAATTAAATGCAAAAATTAAAATTCATAGCAGTCAAGAAAAACTACACAGTCAACAACACTAATATCACCAGGATTACAGCTTTTTAATACACTTACTACAGTGTATTAGTACAGCTTTTGTACACTTAGGATACCAGGTCCAGGACTAGGTCTTTAGTGCCTCACAATAGGCCAGCAGAGTTGGACCCTGCTGATCTCTGGAGAGAGAATGCTCCAACAAAGTCTTTGTTAAACAAAATTGTTACAGGTAGTCCTTGACTTACAACAGTTCATTTAGTGACCATTCAAAGTTACAACGGCACTGAAAAAAAGTGACTTATGACTGTTTTTCACATTTATCATGGGGACGCTGCAACATTTGCAGCGTCCCCATGATCACGTGATCAAAGTTCAGATGCTTGGCAACTGGTTCTTTGCTATGTTCCCTGAGTCATGTGATCACCTTTTGCAACTTTCTGATAAGCAAAGTCAGCGGGGAAGCCAGATTCACTGAATAACCGGGTTACTAATTTATCAGCTGCAGTGATTCTCTTAACAACTGTGGCAAGGAAGGACGTAAAATGGGGCAAAACTCACTTAACAAATATCTCACTTAGCAATATAAATTTTGGGCTCAACTATGGTCATAAATTGAGGACTACCTATAGTTAGCTAAAATTACCAGATTTGAGATGCAGAACCCTAGATGCCAGGTAAATATATACTGCTATTTTGCTGTATTTAGTGGCCATCCAGAGTTGAGTATGCAGCTCAGATCAGGTGGTCCTACTATAGCTTTTGTGTAGCTAATTCCCTTGTATAACAGAGTATGATTGCCTTTCCCATTTAAATCTTTAAAATGCTCACTGCTTTATATTAAGAGGAACAGGTTAACCTTTTGACTAGAAATGGGGAAACTACAGCCGCAGACCAGTTTGATACATTAGAATAGTCAATCCAAATTTCTATCTATCTATATTTAGAACATGGTCTAAGTTAATGATGAACACTTGAAAATTCCACTGATTTTAATGCAACAAGTTGAATATATATTTAAAGAAGCCCTCAAAATCAGTGCGAAATACATTCTTCATTTAACAGAATCACATATTTGATTGGCAGAGATATAGCTGATGCACTTTCCTGAAACTTGATCAGGAAAACAAAATGATGACATTAAAAATGGTGAACTTTTATCAAGTGGGATATTAAAACCATTTTTATGCTTTGCTTGCCTTTAAAAAAAAAAGAAGGATTTGATTTGGATTTTTTTTTTTTTAAAAAAAGCAGCGTATGAGTAAAAAAAAAATTCTCAAAAGCTTAAAACATGAGAAAATAAAAAGGCAGACCAAAAGCCAGGAGGTAAAAATCAAAATAAAAGCTAATGACGTTTCTACTGCCGTATTCTTGCTGCCATATTCTGAACTAATATAAGCTTCTAGACCAGCCATGCTGGCTCAGGAATTCTGGGAGTTGAAGTCCACGAGTCATAAAAGAGCCAAGGTTGCCCACCCCTGTTCTAGACTCTCTTCAAAGATAGTCCTGACTAGAGTGTTTGGGAGTAAAAGCAGAACTGTATGTATCATCTGCATACAGGTAATCCTCAATTTATGGCCATTCGTTTAATGACCATTCAAAGGTACAACAGTGCTGATAAAAGTGACTTATGTCTGGTCATCACACTTATGATCATCACAGCATCCCTGCAATCATGCAATCAAAATTTAAGCCCTTGTCAACCAGCATGTATTTTACAACAGCTGCAGTCCTGTGTGACCTTCCTAAAGGGACTCCCAATATCCAATAGCCAATTGGGGGAGCCAGAGTCATTCAACTACCATGGCAAAAAAAATATATCATTAAATCAGGCTTGATTCATTTAAAGGCCACATCGCTTAGGGACAGAAGTTCTAGTCACAATTATGGTCTAGTCACAATTATACAGCATTTTCTGGGCCAGAGGTACACAATGTTTTTCCTGGCACAAGAAGACTACTCAGGTGGCAGGCAAGGATCAGACTGGATCGAATCAAGGATTAGAACATTTTCCATTCCTCCATCCCTTCATAGATTATTACACCACCCAGCGCTAGAAAGTACAAACCTGTAAGAAAATGCATACAGAGAAAATGAATTATTAATTGTTAAATTAAATTAATTGTTTTTGTATTCTAAACCACCTCAAGTTCCTTTGGCACATAATGCATTTTATGCACATTGCATTAAAACAGACAACAGCATTGTTCCCTCTGGAAAGGGGTGGGGGATTTTTGAGTGGAGGGATCATCATAGCAAAAGCTCCACACTGATATGAACAAATGTAAAAAAGGAAAGACATATTTAAATACCAACAGCACCAAGAGCCAATGGATGGAGCATATTGAGAAGGTTTATATTTCATGACCTAAAACTCTTCCACAGTAATACTCTGTGTATCTTAAATGACATTCCCCAATTTGCCATTTCCCATTAAAATAAATATTATAGTATCATCAACTTCAAACAATAGGTTTGCTTTTCAAACAAGGCCATAACAAGAAATTAATTTACCATGTCAAATTGTTGGATATTAATTTATTTTTGCCTAACTCCTTATTCTCAGTGTTCAGGGAGCCTTTCAGTGTGTGTATGAACTAATGTTTGTCTTTCTTGGTATGCCATTTAGCTGACAGAACTACAGTGAAGTAAACATAACTTACAGGAGACCCCAGTCCAACCCTGTTGTCATATACAAGAGCCGATTTTTTTTCTCTACAAAAGAGCTGCTGCAACTCCTTAAGAACTCTGGCAAAATTGCACAAATGAAAGATAACTTCTGTTATGTTCTTTTCAAACATTACACAGAACTCAAATTCATTGCTTTCATTGTAGTTGGGCATCATTTTACTTATCTACACTTGCAATGATAACTGTTAACTCTAGAAATATTTGATAATCAGTTTTTGAAAGCTGAAAATGAGCCACTTACATCTGTTTTCATGTGTATATCTTGCCCTGAGAAGGCCATATATATCCCACTTTGTGCTAGAATTTTTTTACTTTTCTTTTTTAACCCACTAGTCAGGGTTTTTTTCAAGCTCATTTGAAACTTTCTATACATCTTTTGAGAAGAAATATTCATCAAACAATATAATCTTTTTTCCTAGCGTAAGATTATTATTCACAGAGACTGAATCCCTCAGAAGTCAGCAGTGGCTCAAGTGTAACTGATTACAGCAGTAAAATAGATATGGTAAAAATTTGCTGTGTGGGTCTTAAAGAACATTTTTCATTCAAAAAGCAGCATAGATTCCAATGAGATGTCATTCATGAAGGCAGGAAACATCACAGAGGCAGGATTCACATATCATAGCAAGCTAAGAGGTACTTAATCATGGCTTGTATAACCCACATTTTCTCCAGGAGCTCAGGACAACACACATTTTTTCCCCACACAACAATTCTGTGAAGTAAGCTGGGCTGAAAAAATGAAGAATAAAGTCAGAGTCGTCCAATGTGCTACTGCAGCTGAGGGTAGATTTGAACGTAGCAAAATTATCTTACATAATTTTGATATTGGATTCCAAGCCTTTTCTTCACAAAAGTGCAAGTTTCTAGCTGTTGCAGAAACTTTTCGTATATAAGGTTAAAGGAATATTTAACCAATATCAGTCATAGCTATTTATAGGGAGTAATAGTAATATTCATTATTTGAGAATAAATTTTTAATCCATTTTTCCCAAATCTTTCATGAGATGTTGCTGTTGCAGCAACAGCAATTGAGAAATCACATTAATCTTATATAATATTTTATCATTGATTCTAATATTGATGAGAAGCTAAATGACTAAAGGACAGGGCGGCTAATCTGGGATCATAGAAAACATGGTTAAGATTATCATTTTAAAGGCAAAAAATAAGAGTAAATGTGTTCTATAAATAAAGAGGAAAAAAACCTAGAGCAGTAGCCATCTTCCATTACGCTAACAAGCTGCAAAGCATTTAAAATTAATTTAGTGTTGTCTCTAGAGTATGGTTGGAATCATTTACGATATTTTATATACAGAATTTTTAGTGTCTAATTTAAGACAAGTAATACTTGCTCAACTAAAAGAAATAATACAGTTTTACAACACTGAAACAATGTTATAGTCAAGGCAACTGTATATTACATTAGTAAAGTATTGAAATGTCAGAGCAATGTGGAACAGGCTTGATAAGTGTGCCTTTTTGTGGTTTAAAAGTGTTTTCGCATTAAAGGTTTCTTCACATTGTTGCTGTTGTTTTGGAACATGTATAGCAGACATGTCAAACTCGTGACATCATGTGACATCACGCGACGTATCGGACCTTTTTCCCCATTGCCGGCAATGGGGTGGGCATGGCTTCCTAGTGACGTGTCTGACCGCGGGCCGGCAGTTTGACACCCCTGATGTATAGAGTTTACTGAAGAGAGGACATGATTGCCTTTGAGAAACAGAGATCTTCTTCATTGTTAACTGACTGAACTGGGCTCCTAAGCAGAATTCCATTCTGATGTTGCTAGAGCTAGACTACCATAGATCCAATTTTTGCTTGAACCTAACTGGCAAAAGCTGAATCACTGGTCAGACCTGACAAGGGAATGTCCTTTGGAGGTCAGCCCCTTCTGTCTTGCCTGCTTCCACAACTCATTGGAAGAAGTATACTGTTTAAGTGCTCTACTCCTGAATTTTAAATACTATTTTTCCACAGATGAACAAATGTGGAACACAAGCCCCAATCTGGCTCTCCCTTCAATCAGCTTCTCTCCCACGTCCTGGAGAGAGAAAGGCACTGACTGCCTGCGCAACCTGGCAATTCTTTTCTGGAAGCACCAAAGACTGTTGCCTCTTCCAAATCCCCATCTCAGTTAGACATTGTGGGGAGTTCCTTGTTTATCTCTTGCAACCTACTCAAGGGTGCATGGGCTACTGTGCAGAAGGTGAGTTTCGTGAACTCCACATTTATCGCTTATACTGTATTCTACGTATTCTACAAATTCCTTTTACTGCACATTCAAAGGTCTTGTTATTGCTGTACACACCTTGGTGACCTAGCAAGTCAAGCTGTAAGATGCACACCATGCAAGTAATAAATCAGCAGCTGCCCAAACTGTTTTCATAGAATAGTTGTTATAACTTTGGCAGATTTTAATATGCAGTGTGTTACCAAGGAAAATTTAGTGCAGTGATATTTTGTGCACAATTTCTTTGTTTCCATGTTTGACTTAAGGAGTGAAAATAATGTATTTGAACATTTTGTATTGTTTTTGTTACTAAATGGTGTCTAACACTGAAATAGTTGTTGGAAATGAACAAGATCCTTTGAAAGCTCTTCTAAGTGAAGGCAAAAGACAATAACTTTTGGCTGACATTTTTTTTAATTACTTTGATCAGGAATTTCTACCCCTGCACAGAAAAGATATTCTATTTTGTATTTAGGAAAGAAAAGGAATGGCAGATAGCAATTCCTCACTGAGTCTGTTATGCCATTTGAAATCCATCACTTCTACAGGATAATACAAATAAGTCTTTCTTAGAAGAATCAGTAGCAGTAGGTGAATTTGGCAGAACAACTTAAATCTCAGGGAATCCACACAGAGAAAATCTGGTTGTAGAGTAGATAGCTTTTTATTCCATACCCAGTCATTATCGAAAGCACTTTATTGGTAAATCTCTTCTTGTTGTGGACAGCTACAATATAATATTTATGAATGTATTTAGTTTCTTGTCTACTCAAATAACATTTTTTTCTCCTTGATTGACCTTTGTGCTTGAAATTGCCTCTCAGAACACTTGAGTGATGCCACTTCTTTTTCAGTTCAAGTCTCTCCTCGAAAATGCCCTTTTCTGTCAAGATTTTGGCATAATCTCCTGACTTCCATGCCTTCTGTAACTCAGTTTAACGTTGCAGCATACTTATCTCTTTCCCTTCTTCTTCTGACTTTTCCGCATCAGATTTTATATTGTAAGAAGGCAAGAAACAGTGTTTTCACATTTTGCAAAGTGCATGGATGGCACCATGTTTACCTTAATAAGCTCACTGATCTCAATACTACTACACCTCTTTAACATTTCTTTATTAATTTCATTAATGGAAGCTGAGTTACCCCAAGAACCCTTTAAAATTTCCAGGAGAGTGAAGCTAATAAAATAATTAAAAGACAAAACAATTTTTACAATGTTTTTATTATCTGTGTTAAAAGGACCTTGGGCAGGCTTAATCTCTCTATTCAAATTATCAGATAATTGAGATGTAGCTACACAAAATATTTTCCTGTATTTATATTGATATAAACTTCCTTGATATTAGAAGATATAATTTAGACCAGGGGTCCCCAATCTATGGTCCACGGCCCGGTACCAGGCTGTGACCTGTTAGCCACTGGGCCTCAGGAATAGCTGGTGAGCCCCCCTTCATGGTAGCACTGCTGCGCAGGTGTTAGTGGCCCCATTTGCACATGCTTGGGGGCGCTAGAACTGCCACCAGCGTTACGTGGGCATTAGCAGCCAATTTGCACATGTGTGTGTGGGCCAGCGGCCCATTTGTGCATGTGCATGGGAGCCACCATGCGACTGCAGATGCATGCAGCCCACTTACACACAGGCACTAGCAACCCATTTGCACATGTGTGCAGGTGCCAATGGCCCATTTGCATAGGCACCAGTGGTCCATTTGTGCATGCACATGGCTGCCAGCACGCCACTGTGGGTGCTCACAGCCTACTTGCACACATGCTAGTGCCGCCACTGTGTGCATGCCCATTTGCCCATGCATGTGTGGGCCTCATGCATGCTCATTTCCCTCCTCCTCCCTTTCCTTCCAGGCCGCCAAGCCAGAAAGGTTGGGGAGCTCTGATTTAGACTTTTGTGGTAAGAACCAGAAGTTTGGATTGGGACTGGAAACAAAATCAATGTAGTACTTTTTAATATATGATGAAAAAATGAACATTGGAAAAACTGTCAAAATTATTTTTGAATTTGTTTTTGTTTTGGTGTTGGTGTTGACTTCATTTTTTCAAATTTTTATTAGGGTCAGTTTATTTAATAATATATTTATATAGAAATAATGAAGGAACAGATCTCTGAGAGCCGGCCCATCCCTGGATAGAGTCTATGACAACTTGCCACAGCCAACTCACTATGGCCATCTTGCTGTGGCCAAGTCACCGCAGGACAACACGCCACCTGACAATTCGCTGCGGTACAAGAGTTATATGATATCAAAGAAATGGGACAATAGAATCATTAAAGAAAGGATGCAAAAGGAGGAACAAAATGAAATGTGATTACAAAAAAATAATGTTTTTTTAGTTATTTTAAATGATTCAATTGAATTGTTAAATTGTTCCAGAGTTGGCTGTGGTGAGTTGACCATGGCAAGTTGTCCCATTCCACCCAAATATTTGAAAAATGGATGGATGGATGGATGGATGGACAGACAGGATTGATTTTGCATAGTCATGTGTATATTTGCACATAAATATTTCTTTGCAAAATACATAATGATGAAAAGACTTATTTCCCAGTCTCCAGAAGAAGCAAGCCACTTCTGCTTTTCAGAACTGAAATGCTGAGGTACATATTTCTTACCTGAGAATCCGTGAAAATTGTGAAAGCTGTTAGATCAATAAGTCAAAATATGTCCAGCGAAGTATCAGCAAACTCTTAGCACTTGCTTCACCAGTTCACAATGCCATGTTAATTGATTTATTTCCTTCATTGTTGAAGAATCACAGCTCAACTCTTTTGATCCCAAAAGGACTGAATCAGAAGACATCATTCAAGGTAATTTAATAACATGAATTGCACACAGTATATGAATTATCTTTTATCTGCAGAACCAATGCATGCATTGGTGATCCTTCTCCTTGAATTTTTCCAAAGGAACTTTTGGAAATTAGGAAACCATCCAAAGCTCATATGTAGGGTGGGAATGCAGCTAAGAGTTAAATAAACAAACACTGGTTTATTATGCTTATTCTTATGTTTATTTGTAGTAAATATGCAGTCTTGGCAACCAATGTTTGTCTATTATTGCCAGGGCTATTTGTAAGGTACTGAAGATCAGCTTGTACATTTGGGCATTAAACCAGGGTGTAGAGTCCATCTCTAAGGGGCATCGCAGTATATTGATTGGTGCCGTTGACTGCCAGTATCTTTTGTTTGGTTTGATATGGATGTTTTTATGATCATGTATCACCCACAGTTGTTTTTTAAACAAGTGGCCTATAAATAAATACTTTAAAAATAAAAAAAGAATGTCAATAACAGCAAAACTATGTTTTATATCCAGTTATATAGTTGAATGGTCAGAAATTTATTTAATGGAGAGAAAGGATTTTGTTTTACATCCCTCCAGATTTGGTTATTATAGTTGAAGGACTTTCACATATCATGATTTCTGACTCTTTGAAGTTTGGGAATTAAGACCTTGTCATGACCAAGAGAGCTGTTAAGTGCATCCCTATTCTTTGCTGTTTCAAGAATATTTCTGAAACCTCGAAATCCTTGTGGCAGAAAAAAATCCACAGGTTATAGAAGGTCGTTCATCTAACTTTGGGCTATCATTTAATTGCAGTCTTCATCCTTGGGCTAAGATAATTCAAAAGGTTGATGATGGGATCCCATACTAGAAGTGCCTGCAGTTTTTCAATTTCAGAATCTCCTATGGGTTTGCTGACCTCCTGCCTTGAGGACATGACTGTGATTCAAACTGAGTAGAGATATTTTTTTAGTGTTCTCCTGTTGATATTGAAAGATTATTAAGTAAACCCCTCTTTTGTTTGCAACCATTGGAAATGCTTTGCTAATCATTTTTTACTACCTTGTTGCTTTGAACTACTCAGTTTAGTTACAACTTACAACTATTCAGCCTTCACCTGTCTGCAAAAATTGCATAGTATAAACATCTATGGAAGTTCTGATTCATCTGGGTCACGGTTGTCTCAAAGGTGCTTTTATTTTAATGGCAACTGGACTTTCTGATTTTTCTTTAAGACATTTTACTTCTCATCCAGGAGATTTCTTCAGTTCTCATAGTATAGCATAGAATAAATGTCTAATTTTCATTCAGAAAACATGGGGCTTTATATGTCTTTTTCCAGTTCTATAGTGCTGACTCATTTATAATTTTAACTGTGTTGAATTATTTATTTTTTAATTCATGTACATTATATAACAGTCTGCTTTTCTTCCCACCTAGGGAAATTCCAAATTCCAGTTTTACACCCAGTTGTTACTCCTGAGCTTTTGGGGTCCCAGGTCTACCTAAAATGCACTTTCAGCAGTCTAACTTCAAATTGGGCTATAGGCTATACAGTGATCTGGTCACGACTTTCTACATCCAATGTGAAAGAACAGCTTCATCATGACACAACTGTGCAGACATTCTCCTATGTGGAGATGGATGGAATTAATTTCAGATTGGGAGATACGGTAAAGCTTTCTTGAACTCAGAAGACCAGGTCAAGAAAGACAATCATTCTTTACTGTTTTTTTAAAGTTCTTATTAACTCTCATATCTTGAGCCTGAATTTGGCCTAGAAGTAAAACATGGTGTTCGAGAAGCAATGTATTTTATTGTAATAGGATTGAGTACATTTTATTAACTTTAGAACTACTGTATAAAGCAATCTAGTTCATTTATCAAAAAAAAATGTTTTTGTTGTACTGCATAGCATTGCATCTTTTAAAATAGGTAATAGGTAATAATAGATCATTTTCAATAAAAATAACTCTACCCTCTTACAGCACTGTAATAACCAAAAAGCAGTTTGGTCAACCTGAGCCAAATACCTACAGCACAATTCTTTGTATTTAAGTGAAAATAAAACTTAATAAAAACACAAATAGTTCTGGGATCTCAGATCACTACAGATAAGAAACAAAAGAAACTCCTAAAAGAGAGGATGATGTGTTCAAAGCCTCATATAATTTTGGCCCTGGTTTTTGCTTGAAAAACTAAAATTGGTCTCCTATTCCTCTGCTAGCCTATCATACCGTATATTCCGGCGTATAAGACGACTGGGCGTATAAGACGACCCCTGACTTTTGAGAAGATTTTCAGGGTTTAGAAAGTCATCTTATACGCCGGAAAATATGGTACTTTCTTCAGATTTTTCATTTGGGGAAAAGATTTGGAAGCTCTTAGTTCTTAACTGTCCCCTTATTCACACTTGAGGAGCCATGCCATTGATTCTGTCACTTACTCTGTCTATTCAATTAAAAAGACTTAGCAAAGAAAATCCAAATATGTAAGTTCATAAATAAATTTGAATCTTACTTATATCCTAATAGACAAGATTGCCTTTCTCCTATCGTACCCTTTCTATGATTTTGAGATCAAACTGGCATTTTATCAATTTTTGTAAGGTTTACAAAATATTGCATGCAAAGTAATTTAATGCTGTAAAGCAAGAAGTACATGTGTACACAAGTGAAGTATGAGGGGGGTTTTTTTTTGCTGCCTTTTAATTTCTACCAACTATATACTGTAAATGGGATTGGTGTAATATCAGAACTGACAGAGTTTTGGGACATCCTACTTGACCTTCTTCAGTGGTCAGCTAAGATTAAGATCCATTCAAATCAGTCTTTCTATGGTGGGTGCTGCAAATGAAGGCATCCTGAGTCACTAATTGTGACAGCCATTTTTGTCATTGTAGAATATAATTTCCAAATACCTCCATACTTTTCTGTACAACGTATTTCCCAAAAGCTGCAGAAAAAAGACAGGGCACTTAAAAATTAACATTCATTAACATTAATTTTCCGTTCATTTAAATTTTCATTAGTAATATTGTTCACACCCAATATCAAGTATCCATCAAGATGTTCATCCCTTAATCAGAGTCTTTGAGTTTTACTAGTCCAAAGAGTTTGAACATTTGTTAGCATATCTGTAAATAGCCAATACCATTTCCCCATAATGTTTTAAAAAGTCACAACTTCATACAGTTACGCTGTTTGAGCTCTGTTGACAGCCAAATGCTAGCAAAACTACTGCAGCTTTAATAAATAAATCTGTAATATGCTATTTTCCCTTGGGTAAATGCTCAAGATAGCCCATTCCATCTGATTTGAAATTGTAGCAATCCCAAGATCTATTTAGATGATATTGACAGAGGTCACTCTATACCTGGAGGGACAGCCATCTGTAATTTGCAGCAGGTAGTGTGTGCGCAGTGGGTAATACTAAAAAAGCAGGATGTGCCAAAAAAAGAAAAACTGGTCATTTTTTGCTCTGCACAGCAGTTTGAAAGATCACGCCATGAAATGGCATGCATTTTAAAAAAGGCTTATGTAAAATTGCCTTTTAGTTTGTTATTGGCATTGGCCATCTTGCTGATGAGTTACAATATTTTCAATTATGATGGCAACTCTTCCCACAAATACTGAAAAACTCCTTGTACAAAATTCCATAGTGATTTATCTCTTTAGATAGATTAGCAAGAAAGGCAATTACTTGAGATGCTTCTACTATGAAGGAAAAGAGAGATTCCCCTTTCCCAAATTTTTAATTATGTTAACTGCAGTACAATAATTCCTGATGTATTAAATATTGCTTTCAGAAAGAGTTCTGATTTTTTTCAAAATGAATTTTCACAATGAAATTCCATAGCAAGAGATGTGGATTGCTGGAATGAAAACAAACTTTGAGACTAACCTCTCTGAATCAAGCATTATTTCCAATTCTAATTATTTTGACTTGCTGTAATCATTATAGATAGTTCGGTCTAAACCTTATTATGCTAAAAATCCCTCTCTCTCCTCTGATAAGCTTTATTTGTTCTTTTCAATAACAGAAATTACCTAACATGGAGTACAATATTATTCTCTCCCCTACAACACACACACACACACACACACACACACACAAACATATCATTGAATGTCTGAAGGAAAAGGCAAGAAAATATTCCAAGTTAAAATCTGAATACCTTAAAGAAAATCTTTACCAGTTCTCTGAAAGATGAAAAGGTGGTGGTCTCATCTATCAGAACCATGACACTAAACCTTGAATGTATGTTGGTCCAGAATGAGAGGCAATTGCTGAGAATATCATTTTGTGCCACTCAACATGTGTGGAATGGACAACCTCAGTATATCTCCCTATTCATTTATATAAGGCTGGCAAACTCTACCTGTAAAAGGTAGCAAGGGCCCAATCTTTATAGGGATTTACAGGCAAGCTTCAGTAGTGTGAATTGGCCCCAAATCCTACTGGCAACCATTTCAATTAACTGTATCCCTTCTAGTCTCTCAGGGCCGCCTGGTAAAATCCTATGTGCTTGCCCTACGGTATAGAAATAAAGCTAGGTATTAGCAACTTATGATCTCATCATACCAATCAGTGATCTCATATAAATGTTAAACTGGATCAGGGAGAGATTCAAGCTCTGGGACACTCAGGGGTTCAACTTCTTGTCTCCTGACAACTAATCAGAATCACTGGCTCAGGAAAGAGTGGAATCACTTGCAAAACTCTATTCAGTCCTCAATCCTTGCATACATCTCAAGGAAGACGTAAATGTTGGGTACTGAATGCCCGTAGAGGGAGTACATCACCACCCTATTAGTCCTGCTATAAGAATGATCAATGCACTCTCAGTCCCATGTCAGACCTGAAATACAACTAAAGCAATGCAGATAATTGATCACACCCAAAAGCCGTTGAAGAGCCTTCTCCAAATCCTTCTCAAGAAACTGTAGGTTAGAAACTGGCTAATAACCATATAGGATGACTGGATCAAGAAATAATATCTAAAGGGCAGGACACATCAGCCCCAATCATTCATAACCCTGTATCTATGCCATTTATAGCCTTACATATCATCCAAGGAGGGCAAGGATATAATTTGAAGATGGGTGAGCTTATTCCACATAGAACTCTGTATATGACAGACAGAAAATGAGACAAGAACTAGATTCTTATTCACCTTCTCCTATAATTATCTATGCCTGGTTTCCCCATTATATGTTCCTCTGTGAGTTGCTACCAGAACCATTCCCACGTATATGTATGAAGAACAACAATAATTAAAGGAATAGAAACCAAGTATTATAAAGGGAGCCTGAGGGAACTAGAAATGTTTGCCTTTCAAGAGAGGACTCCAGGCAGTCTACATTAGAGTGTCAGAATTAAAATTCTGTGTCAGAATGGGGGACATGGAAACTTGGTAGACAGTTTCCAACTTGAATGTTGTGGGGGGGGGGGAGAAACCTTCATTAGCAAGCATGACACATTCCTTCTTGCGGCATGCAGAGGCTGAATATGTGTTATGGATACTTAGCTTAGATTCCTGTCCTGACAGTTGGGCTTAATGGCTTAAACTGCCTTTTCCAATTATTATTCTTACAAATCATGTGAACCTGTCAAATTTATCTACAAGGGATTGCTGCCAAAACAACCCCCATCACTCTAATAAGAATGCAATTCTATTTTTTTTTCTATCATGACTATACAACAAGGCCCACAGAAACATTAAAGCTGCAACACATTGCCAAATTGTCAAACTCCATCACAAAAACAATCCCCCAGATGTCTATAGGTGTCTTTGTTCTCCCCATCCTAGTACTTCTGGATCTCAGTGATATGTTTAGCTTAGATAAACCAATCTCTTTTAATACTGTTAAAATTTAGGGAGAAGAAGGATTTTATTTTATTGAGAAGCTTTAGGGATAAAATATTCAATCACACAGTCAAAGTTATCTTTCCATGGCCTGTGGGTATCTTTTTCATTTCCCCTTTTCTTTTGAAATGATAAAGGGGGAGGGGGACACCTGATTGCTTAGTTAAACACCAGGAGCCAATATTTAAAGGCAAGAAGCTTGTGAGAAAACATATCCCAATAATTGTGTGGTGCACTATCAAGACTAAAATGTATGTCAGTCTATTGTGAGGAGGAGATTTAAATTTACAAAGGAAGAAACTTCACACATAGAAATACAATGTAGTATTTCACAGTCTGTGCAGTTTCTAGAGGTATAAATTTCAATTCCTGGAATTTTATGTACATTGTACAACATTGGTATTCTGTATTCCTGGAACAATAATATTGAAAAAAAAATCTGATTGGCTTTTTTTCCTTTCCAGGCTGAAAAGGCCACTTTATATAGATGCTTACCTCAAAGATACTTAAATCTTTGCACTTTGAGTTACAGAATTTTTGCAATTAGTTTACAATTTTCTTTTTGGCAATCTAGACAAAAAACATTGTTCTTCAAAGATGTTACAACCAGAGTTTGGAATCAAGCCCAGTAGGTCCTTGATGACTATCAAAACCACCAATTTATTGATCCAAATGTGGCACAAATGGGCAGTTTAAAAGAAAAATAATAACAAATATACTAGCTGTTCAGCTTTGGAGATTCTAGGCAATTTGGAAGCATTGAAAAATAATACTATCAATCCAGCAATCATAAAATCAGCAGCATAAAACCTCCAACAAAACCTGTGTAAAAGAAACCTCATAAACTGTAACAATCTTAGCTCCAATGGCAAAATGTTCAGAAATAGAGCATATATGTAACGGCACCTGCAAAAGATGTCCCATTGGTGACTTAAGAGCATAGGGCAATTATATGGGAATAGATGGTCTTAAAAATGCCAATCCATCTCTCTTTATTGATTCCACTACATAATCCATTCCCTATATCTGAGCCCATAGCATTGTGACATAATCACCAGTTCTGTTTTTCTGAAAAGCAATGCACAGAAGCATCAAGGACATGTGGGTGAGGAAATATAACTGATATTGTAAGAAATGTTTTTTGTTACCATATGCTTAAAATGATAAAGCAGTGCTGCAGCTTAAAAAATGCTGCACACCTGTTTGGTCCAATCTTAGGGCCTATTGGCAGATGTCCTAGCTTTGAAGGTCAAAGACTTCTTGAGCGTTCTGTGCACCGATAACTGGCTTGGCCACAGCTTTTAAAAGCCACATATAGATATTTATTCAAACAAGTTTCACTGTTAGTTTTTAGCGCTTGGAGGCCCACCCCTGTGCATTCTCAGTTTGACAGGGAAAAGTCCTGACTACCTTTTTGTGAAGGAGGTCTACAATTGCTAAGGACAAAAGGCAGCAAAATAAGTTTTGATAAGGTGTAATTTAATGATCACTTAGTACATTTTCTATCATTTTTCATAAGCCTGTCATTTTAAAAAAAGAGAGGCAAAAAGGTTTTGAAATAGTTTGGCTTATTTATTGCAGGTCTTTTGCACTGTCACAGCTTTTAGGTGGGACTCAGCTGATCGTCGCTCTTCCCCTGAAGAAAGCGATGGATTCTACGCTGGAATCAAGGTAACAACAAAACTTCTAATTTCATAAACTTCTCTAGCATAGCCTTGATGGAGATTTCTATATTAGCCATCTTGTTTCGCAAGACAACACACCATAAAATTGGCTTTAGTGATTATAAGAAGGGTGCTTCTAGGTGCTGAGGCAGAAAATGTTTGAATAAATTGCCTGCCATTCTATCAATCATTCTATCTATCAGTCTTTTAAAAACACTAACAGCTGCAGCATTTTAGGTAGAAAGAAATGTAATCTAAAATCCTCCCATGTTCATTCACCTGAGTAGTATGGTACTGTACGTATAATTCTGTGCAAATAAATAAATTGCTATGGTAATATTTGGCTATAAGGACAGATTCACACTGTGCAATATAACCTGTGTCTTTAATATGACCGTATTTATGAGGTCTGGCATGAGATTAGCATTCAAATCTTTTGAATTTTCTGAAAGGCACCATTCATTTACAAAAATGAGGGTCAAATTTTCTTTTATATCAAGGAAGCTATTGTACATCACAGGGTTCATGTGCAATCTGTAAGCCCCTCTTTTGTGTCCTCCTTCGTGAAATGTCATGAGAGCCAGTTTGGTGTAGTGGTAAGGTGCTGGCCTAAAAGCCAGGAGACAGTGAATTCTAGTCCCATTTTAGGCATGAAAACTGATTGGGTGATCTTGGACCAATAAATCAGCCCGGCTTACCTACAGGATGGTGGTTGTGGGAAAATCAAAGGAGGAAGAAATATTATGAAGGTTTGCCACCTAGAATTACTTATAAAGTAATAAAGACAGGATAAATGATAAAACATTCTGAAATAGGAAACAAGTGAAAATATTAATTTTACTTGGATAAACATTTAAAAAAAACCTCCCAACTTTTAATGTATTTTAAATCCAACACTTTTACAGAATAATTGCTGTGCTTTATAATCATCTGTGTGATTATGCCTTTGACTTCAGACTTAATAGTGTAATCACAGCTTTGGCTGATGTGGCATTATTTATATGGGTAAAATTATATAAACCTTCTCCTGATAAAATGCAATAATCTGCTCAAACATCATAGATGGGTGAAATCTTTTGTTTACCCTCTAGTTTCCTCAGATCTGCCTCAAAGATGTCTTGAAGTAGAGTTATGCTCTATATTTGGGATGTGTTATTCTTGATCATACGAAATTTCTTATTCCATTTCCACAGTTTTCCTCCTACATTTAGATATTGTCAGCAAATAAAAAATTCTTCTCACCTATTGGATGGAGAAGAAAGTGAATAAATGCTGTCCTCTGAACTTTTCCCATTTTATTGTCTCATGATTGACTCATGAAATATAACACTGTTTTAAAATCATTTTAGCTTAACATCTTTAAAATTAATGTTTATATCTGTGTCAGAGGGAAGGGTGAGTATTATTATTTTGAATTATAGTTACCCATATTTATTTGCTATGTATCAACAACTACTATATCTATATTTACTTCCACATTAAGATTAGAACAGAGTAGCAAATGTAGAATGGTAGAAGTCAGTTATGGTGTTGTCAACATAAACTTGATTCAGAATACATCAGTTATATTTTGCTTTTGTAAATAATGAACAAAGTAGAAAGGCATAAAACAGTCTTAAAACACAGAGAGAAACATGCTAGGGAAGAATGAGAAAGAGAAAAAACTTGATGCTTTAGTCCAGCAATGTCAAACTGCTGGCCCACGGGCCGGATGCGTCATGTCGAAACCGCGCCCACCCCATTGCCGGCAATGGGGAAAAAGTCCTGATACGTCATGTGACGTCACGAGTTTGACATGCCTGCTTTAGTCAATAGATAATTTTAGTCAGGTGTCTTGATGAATGGTCAGATCATCATATTCATATTCATGTTCATGTAAATTGCTTTTCCATTCATTTCAACATTCAAAGTAGAATAACAGACAAGCAACATGACCAGCTAATTAATGTAATATACACTCCAGCACATTTTAATTAACATTTTCTTTTCACTACTAGCACTACAGTGCACTAAACCAATCGGTTCCATGCTGTTAGTTAATAGAATTTTTCAAAGGTTTTTCTCCCTTTTCTGCAACAGAAAAAAGAAACAATTACCCAACTATACCTGAAAATTATTTTGTAATTACTAAAGATGTTCAAAAGCAAAAGATAGCACTTGGAAATTAAGTCAATGTCTATTTAATAAGCAGTTATAGTGGCTAATTTGACTGAATGGTTTAGAGCTTAGTAGAAATCTCAGGATGCCCCCAAAATAACAATTTCACCTCATCTTGTGAAGGCAATGATCCAAAATCTTGTTAACTTGCCAAGATACCAATAAGAGCAAGCAAAAGGGTAAAGGCACAAAGAAAAAAAGAACAGCAAACATTTTTCCCAGTGAAAATTGATATACGAAGACAAAGAAAAAGAGGCACAGGAATTTCAGAAAAAAAATCCTTAATTCTTTAAACCACAACCCTTAAATACATAAATATTTAAGGGTTGTGGTTTATGTATATTTATGTGTGTGTGTGTGTGTGTGTGTGTGTAGTCAAAATAATACACGACCACCAGGAGGATTTAAGTAAAAAAAATATACTTTACTAAAATTGCCAAGCTTTTTTCAAGAATGTATTTCATCTTCAGACTTTTTTCTTCCAAATGATCATCAACTTTACTTGTTAGATGCTAAGGCTGATCTTAGTATGGTTGAACTGATGCTCTTAGAATTACCCTTGGGTCCTCTAGTATGTTTCTATTTCTTGACTGTCTTTCTTACTTAAGAGCAATTGTCATTCATAACACCTTCTTCCTCTCTTCATGGTCTCAAAGCTCTGCTTCCCAGACCAAAAAAAAAAGGTTCATCTTTAAATAAGAAGCCATTTCCCATGAGAAGAGATTAGGGGTTGATATGAGCCTAGCCCAAGACTGATAACCTGTCTTTATTTCCAGTTTGTACCAGAATCTTTACAAATTGCAGAGGATGGAAAGGAACATATTTTGACAATCTTAAGTACCATTCCTATTACATGTTTGGCCCAGGATGACATCTGTAAAATTACTTTACAGCTAAGTACTCAGATTTCCGGTAAGTACCTTATGTCAGTTAGCATATAACCCACCACATTTTTGTCCATTTTTCCTGAAGTCACTATACCTGTAATGAATCTAGAAGCAGAGGGATGGTAAAATGCTTCAGAAGTAAAATATGTTCCATAGCCATAATACCAAACAGATGAGAAAAAAAAATGTAATGCATTGAGTGGTGTAGTACATTAAGCAATTTATTTATTTTATTAACATTAGAAGTTAGCATTCATGAAAGCTAATATAGAATTTTTATATTAGGTTTTATAGAAATGGTGTAGTTGAAATGTATATTGAAATAGAAAAAACGGGTCCAAAAATCTCAATGTAATGATACTTTGTGTTAGTTTAGCTTTGAAAAATAACTTCTTCTCATACTTAGTTTGTGATTAATCTTTTTTTTGTGGCTGGCAAAGAGTTAGTGGGAGACTAGTATAGCTATTTCAAGTTATATACTAAAAACAAAACTGTTTAATTAAAAGCTGAGCCTTTCGTCGGTCAACACTACCGACATCATCAGAGCATGATGCAAGATTGCTGGGAGTCCTTCTTATGCTGCTGGGTGACTTTGCACCTGGCTCCTTGACCTAGTTACTGGTCCATCCGTTCTCTCCATCCGGTTTCTTAAAGGGCCCACGTCCTTTATTGTGTTAGTGCCCTCCGAGGTTGCTGTTTCCTTCCTCCTGGATCCAACCACTCTCCGTTTCTGCTTGCCCACTCTCGCGTCGATCATCCTCTCTAGCCCCATTCCGTGGTCCGTTCGATCCTCCCTGGACTGACTGTGCTTGCGTGCGTTCGAGGGAGGGGGTGTGTCAAGCGGATCCGGACGCCTATCAGTGCAATCCCTGGCAGCTGCATTCCTGCATACATTCCTCCACCCATCCTTCTCGGGTGTCCGTGAGTATGCTGTACCGCTTCTAGTTGTCCCCCTCCTCTTGAGGCTCCTCATTACTTGCTTGCACATTGGGCTTTTTATCTTCCTTCATTGTTCATCAGTTCTTTTGCTCTTTTTGCACATGTATGGGGCCTCACGACATCACTTTCCATCGTAGGTCTCTGTTTTCCTTTCCTATTCATGTCAGTAGAATAACCTGTCTCTCCCCTCATGTTAGCGGGGATCGTGGAGCAGGTGTCCCGTGGGTTATCGTCCAACCACCTTTGTTGTTCATCCCCATCGTTGTTTCCCCTTTTTATGGGGTGAGTTGAAGTATGCTTATCTGGGATACCTAGAGGGGGATGTTTCTTGTTCCTTCTCTGTTCTTCTTATAGGTTCTTTGTCCCATGGATGGGTTATCTCCTCTATTCTTCCTTCCCTCTGATTTTGTGAGGGATGTGCCAATTGCCTTTGTTGTGGATTCAGATGTTGTTGTTCCCATGCCTTCCTCAATGGCTATGCCCAAAGATAAATGGCTTTTTTATCTGCATCTTTCACTTGATTTGCCTCTTTTTGCCCTAATTTAACACTGGAAAGAACCAGCTTCAGAGACTGGAAAAAAGAAAGTGGGATAAGTTTTCACTCTTTTTCCTCTAAGAATGAGGCATCTGAAGAATCCACTGTTTCCTGGGACATCCACCCAATGGATGGAGCTAAAAATCATGGATACAGAACTATGGCATATAGCTCTAGATATCATCTTTACATAGGAAACCATAAAATCCTATGTTTAAATGGAAACATTTTCATGTATTGAAATAATAAAGGAGAATATTTCAATACATGTGGTGTTGACATGAGGTGCTCTCTGAGCTTGGTTGTTTTCTTGCAGACATTTGGGAAAGCAAACAAGCTCAGAGAGAACCAAGGACCCCTCGTGCATTGAAATACTTTATTAATTTATTTGGTAAACTGTACTGTGAATCCTTGGCAACCTCTATTTCAGGGGTGTCAAACTCGCAATGTCACGTGATGTGACGTGATGTATTGTGACTTTTTTCCCATTGCTGGCAATGGGGTGGGTGCGGTTATAGCAGTTTGACACCCCTGCTCTATTTGGTATGGGGGTAGACATAGATATTTTTAAATAGATAAATTCATATTGCTGAGATAGATATATATTTGGTCTTTATTTATGTTTTTCTTTTTCTGCATAATAGTCTGTTTCTGTTTCAAAATGATCATGTGCTGTATAGCGAGAATTATTTTTACCACACAGAGAAGATCATCCAACATCATTTATCTAACAGAAAAATAAAAACTAGTAACTTCTCAACAACATTATAAATTTATCCAATATGTTTTTATGCTTTTTTTTTTTTTAGCTAACTTGTTAGAAAGGACACCGAACATAGCCCTTTCAACATGCCACGTGGATCTGGAACAAAGGCCCTGCCAAGAAAGCAGCTGTGCAAGAGCAACACTTGCTGTGAAAGCTGTGAATGACTTTGTAGAAAATGGAAACTTTATCAGTTATATCACAGCTAAGCCAGTTCAGCCAAGAAAATTTCTGTGGCATGATTATAAGCCCATGGATGTCAAGGTAGGCTAAAGCAACAACCAAGAGGTTTTCACAGCATGTTGTAAAAAAAAGAAAAGAAACAACAACACAGACCGCTCCTTCCCAGTCATCTTTGTTTATGTTTACCTTTATTATTCCTTTGTCTCATTCCAAATTTGGAAACTAATCAATCTTTTAAAAAGATTAACAAACCAATCCTAATAGAGATTTTAAAAAATGTACAGAATAACCCCAGAAGTCCGTTTCTTCATCATTAGAAAAAGAACCATTTTTGAGAAAGAAAGAATTCTTATATGAGGGTTGGATTTCAGCAATTTATATTTGCTCCTATTTGGTTCTGCTTGGATTCAGTGACATTGGATCAGGTTGCAAATATTTCAGTCATAAAGTGTTCATTTGGTTCTGGAAAAGGAAACTACAAACTGTTCCATAATTTCAAATATATCAAAGTCAAGTCCTCTTGTACCAGCATAAAATTCAGAAGAAATGCAGCAGAATTTATTTGAAAATAATTGTCTTTACCTCTTGTGTTACGGGGAAAGTTTCATGACTGTAACCCAAACCAAACAATTTGTTATGCATGAATAAAGAATATAGTTTTTACGAATCATGATATAAAATAACCCTGAGCAGAACTCCCCATCTTAATGAATGTGCAAATCAGTAATTAGAATGTTATCTATAAGGAATTCTGTTTGTTCTATGTCATCAGCCATCCCATCCTGTGCTTTCAAAATCTGCTCAAGAAAATCACCCAGATCTTTCAGGAGAAAGGGGAAGTCCTTGTAGGGAGTGTTTTTAGTTCTATCAGTAAATGACTAGGAGTCCTTACTTATCCCCAGATTCCATCTTATTTGAGATTATACACATACATACAAACATACCATACTGTTGTTTTTTGAGGTAAGCAGTGTTATCCAGAATGCAAAATAGCAGTAACAATTGTAAGGTAAGAAATTAAAGGCATGGGGGGGATAAGGGAAATACAACTAACTCTTGGGATCTCATTAACTCCATATTAACTCCATCCAACCATAATTTTGGGAATTCCCCTTCCTCTTGACCCATTCCTCCTCCTCCTCCTCCTCCTCCTCCTCCTCCTCTATTACCTTTGGCCTAGAAGCCTTATCCCAAGGTCTTCAAGAAATGCCATGTTTTTACGTCTCTCTTAAAGGTTAGTATGGTGAGGTCCAAACCAATCTCCAGGGGATGCTGTTTCAGAAAGCAGATATTGCAGCAAAGAAGGCCCACTTCCTTGCTCCTGCTACATAACAATGCTTAATTTATAGTACACAAAGCAAGCCAATTTTGACTGATTGCACAGGCAGATACTACAGGAGACAGATGGACTCTCATATCACTAGTCCCTATGGCATGCAGGGCTTTAATGCTTTGAATTAGACTTAAAAGTTTACCAATAACCAGTGCAACTCATACAACAAATGTATTGTACAGGCATAGCATTATATTCCCCATCACTACTTCTTAAATACAGAGTCCAAAAATAAGTAATTGGAATTCTAATAATAACCACAATCTAGCATACTTGTACTATGTTAAATCTGATTTGAATTCACCTGTAATCAAATGCAACCCAACTTTGGTGAGTCAATATTAAGAGCAATGCTGGAATCCTACCTCAAAGACCATATGAATTCCATTTCTCATTTTAACTAGGTCACAGTTCAAGACATCCCTACAGGTTACTGCTACTCTTTCACAGATCCACACATAATCACATTTGATGGACGGTGAGTATTTTTTCAAGAAATTATGTAGATTCTCTTGTAACCATCTGGGAGGAGGTTTCGTGGTATCCGAAGCAGAACATCTAGATTCAGTCATAGTTTTGCTCCATATAGTATCAACCTAGTAAACTCTCAAGTTTCCTCTTTCCACTATGTATTCAAAATGGATAGTGAAACATTTTATACACACGCACACATACACATACACAGACATACCCATACATATATACATATACATATATACACATATACTCATATATACATGTGTGTATGTATATATGTATATGTATATATGTATGGGTATGTCTGTGTGGTGTGTGTATAAAATGTTTATATGTGTATTATGTATGTACTGTATATGAGTAGATATATACTTTGTTTTGAGAGCAGGCAACATAATTTCATTTTTAATGTGTGCCAGTGTGCTCATAGTAAAAAAATGACAATAAAGGTTATCTTATCTCATCTCGCCTTGCCTTGCCTTTCCCTGCCCTGCCCTGCCTTGCCTTGCCTTATCTTATCTTATCTTATCTTATCTTATCTTATCTTACCTTACCTTACCTTACCTTACCTTACCTTACCTTATCTTATCTTGCCTTATCTTGCCTTATCTTATCTTCTTAGCCTAGCCTAGCCTAGCCTAGCCTATCTTATTGTAGTGGATTTTTTTAAAAAATCCAATTGATTTTTTGATATATGAATATTCCCTTGCCTATCTTATTGTAGTGGATTTTTGTTTTAAATCTAATTGATTTTTTGATATATGAATATTCCCTTGCCAAGTGTTTTGCAGAATTCAAAGAAGCAAAAAAAAAATGCTAGTAAAAACCAAGGGGAAAATTTTCTTTATGAAACTAGTCAATAAATTATTTTGAAAGTAAAATATTTCTAAAACAAAAATCTTATTAGCAATTTGTATGAAAGTTGGTTCAAAATGATAGAAATAAAACTTTTTTCATAGCTCAGAATGAGTTTGGATTTACTTTGGGTGCTTTTGTCTAATCCTCGGTGGCAACAGAGCAACCCGTAGGATTAAACCATGACATTCTAGCAAACAATAATGTAAAGCATATTTATTTCAAAAAGTTCCATTAATTACAGGAGAGATTTTCAACCAACTATATTAAGGTAACATTGCAACCTTCTAAAGGAATAAGATTTCTCTGCCTAAATTATTCTTTGTACAATCATGAAATTTTATTGGACAGTCATGTGCAAAGTCAATTTGTAGTAACACCTGTCAGTAATGATTGAGTATAAGTGTAGCAGCTACTAGAATGGGATATGGCTTTAAGTAATAACCAAATCAGTTCCACTCTGGGAGGCTGAAGCTCATTTGTAAGGTCAAGATGAATATATCACTGTTATATGGTCATCCTTTGGGTTTGAAGAAGACACACTATTGTGAAGTTCATCTCTGCATAGGGAGGTAGATCTGCAGTCCCAGTAGGTAAGTGCAGAATCTGGCACAATGGAGGCACTGGAAGTCCATTGTTATAGTAACAGTGGATGGTATTCTGTGGCACCATTCACAGTTTTCTGTCAGTTTTAGGTAGCATCTATCTTCAAACCTGGTGGAAACTTCAGAGTAAAGGGGTCACCAGAGGGTTCTGTCAGTAGCTGCAGCTTCTAGTTCCTATATCCCATACACCAGTTGAAAATACAATAATTTATAGCAGAGGTATATTGAAGAATGCGTCTCTGTCTAGATAAATAGGATTCTGTTGAAGCTCTAATTTTTCCTATGAAATCTTCACTCAGCAATTGTAGATCATACAAAAGTTGGTAATTAGTCACCAAAAACACTATTTGAGCATTGATTTTGCTTTCAAGCGTATTAAGCCATAAAGCACCCAATTACAACTAAAATATGTTTATTAAGGCATAGAGGTGAAGATATATTCCCATTTACTTTTGTCAGATGTTTATCTGCCTTGTCCATGTCTGTTGTCATAGCAGCAGGTCTAGACGCCTATGAGTAGCTCATATGAATTCTTATGCATTCCTACTTAATAACTTCATTGGAGTGTTTTAGGTTACTGATAGTGATGAAAAAGTGTTTCCTCATGAAATGTTTACTGTCTGTCCCCTCTGAGATCGACTACCAGATTGAATTAATTAAAGAATCTTGTTAAGAGTAAAAGTGTGCAAACCAAAACAGATATACAGCATTCTGTAACTTCTCCCTTTTGATTGCTTAGGCATTACAGTAACTACATGATTGGAACTTTTGTCTTATACAAGAGCCTTAGCCGTCTATTTGAGGTGCATGTACGTCAGTGGGACTGTGACAGCCACCATACTGCCATTGCCTGTAACTGTGGTGTTGTTGCACTAGAAGATAATGATATTGTTATTGTTGACATGTGCAACAGGCAATTTCTGGAAACCAAATCTCAGGTGATAATACAAAACATCAGAGCCTCATCACAACAAAATGTCAAAATCCTGAAGTCCTATGGAGGAAAAAAAATCACTGTATGTATATCACCTTTATTTTCTATACTATTACTAATGGAGAACAAAATGTGTAAATGGAAATCAAAGAATGAGGTGATTTTCAAAACTTCATAGTGGTATAGTTCTAGTATTCTTTGTTCAGCCGATTGATCACTCACTATTAGCCATTTTTTTTTAAAGAAATTTTTATTATTTTCAAGTATAACAAAATATAAACATAAACTTGATGCATATAAATACAGAACATCAATGCACAAAAGAAAAGATACTTTACGGATGATCCCGGCTGCCCCCTCTCCGCTTCCCCCTCTTTCACTTACCACCTTCCTCCCACTAAACTCTCAACCACTCCACCTTCCTCCTTCCACTCCCTACTTCCCAACCTCTTTCTCAAGCACCAGCCGGAAGCAGTTTGGGGTAACAGCCAGGATCATTCTCATAAATATACTCCNTTTTATCCTTTTCCCCCCTCCCCCCCCGGACTTCCCAGAGCTAAACCCAGGAATAATTACAAAATAATTTTAATCTATCCAAAGCTATCCGTTCATACAATAAACAAATATAAAGTTACCATAACTCTAAAATACAATAATAAACTTATAAAAATTTAATAATTAATCAAAAGCAAGATGATAGTTTCTCAGTTCATATTTTTTCTGAATATAGTCTATCCATCTTCTCCATACCAGGATAAATGTCTCCTGTGAATAATCCTTCAGGTATGCGGATATTTTAGCCATTTCTGCAAAATATGAGACTTTCTGTCTCCAATCATCCATAATTGGTAGTGTCTTTTTTTTCCAGTTCTGAGCAATCAATGTTCTTGCTGCTGTGATGCAATACAACATAAGATTCATTTCTTTTCGATCCAAATTCTCCATAATACCCAGTAAGAATAATTGCGGTGTAAATTTTATTTTTTTCCTAAAAATCTGTTGAATATTCCACCAAATCTTAATCCAGAAGGCTTTAACATCCCTACAAGTCCACCAAATATGGTAATAGGTCGCATCCATATTATCACAGCTCCAACATTTTGGCTGCAAGTTCGGGTACATGCAAGATAATTTTTGAGGATCCAAATGCCATCTATAAAACATCTTATAAAAATTTTCCCTTAAATTTTGAGCTTGGGTAAACTTAACATTTCTAACCCAAATTATCTCCCAAGTCTCTAACATAATTGGTTCTTGAATATTTTGAGCCCACTTAATCATACAATCTTTAACTAATTCTGTTTCCGAATCCAATTCTAATAATACACTATAAATTCTTCTAATATGGGCTCTACTTTGATCTTTAATCTGCTTTATCAAATTCCCATCTTCCAACATAAGACCCAATTTTTGATCTAAACTCCATCTTTCAGCCAATTGATAATATAAGAACCAAGACTGAAGCACTTTCTCTTATCTCAATTCATCCAATGATTTAATTTGCCAGTCTTGACCCTTTAGAACCAATAAGTCTCTATAAATAATTCCCTCTAGTTTAACTCCCGTAGTTACTCCTTGTATTGCATGTTCCGGAATTGCCCACATTGGTATCTTAAAATTTAATTTGTGATAATACTTTTTCCAAATTCTCAAAATTGCCACTCTTAAGATATGAGATTTAAAAATAGAGTCAACTTTCTTATCAAAAAATAAATATGCATGCCATCCAAAATATAAGTCCCAGCCTTCAAGAATCAGTATATCTCTATTAGTTAAGTTAATCCAATCAGTAATCCATGTCAAAACCACCGCATCATAATACAATTTTAAATTTGGAGCTTTAAGTCCCCCTCTTTCACGTGCATCTTGCAAAATTTTAAATTTTACCCTCGGCTTTTTTCCTAACCATATGAAACTGTTAATCCCTCTTTGCCAAACTTCTAAATTAGAGTCTCTTTTTAGAATTGGTATCATCTGAAACAAAAAAAGAAATTTTGGAAGAACATTCATTTTAACCACAGAAATTCTCCCCAATAATGACAACTGTAACTTTTTCCACATTTCTAAATCCTTTTGAATTTTTGTCCATAACTTTTCATAATTATTTTTATACAGTTTAACATTAGAGGCAGCAAGATAAATACCCAGATATTTCACCTTCTTCACAATTTCAAAACCAGTTAAATTATTTAAAGTCTCTTTATCCTTCATAACCATGTTTTTAGACAATATTTTAGTCTTATTGACATTTACTCTAAATCCTGAGACTCTTCCATACTCATTCAATAACTGTGTCAAGTTTCTTGTTGAGTCAATCAGTTGAGATAATGTAAAAACCAAATCATCAGCAAAAGCTCTAAGTTTATAATCATTCTTTCCCAAAGTTATTCCTCTTATAGTTGGTGTTTCACGAACCTTAATTAATAAAATCTCCAAAGTCAAAATAAACAACAAAGGTGATAAAGGACATCCTTGCCTCGTGCCTTTTTCAATTTTGATTACATCTGTCAGACCTCCATTCACAATGACTTGTGCTGATTGAGATTGATAAATAGCCTTCAACGTGGACAAAAATCTATCCCCAAAATTCATTTTGTCAACCACACCAAACAAAAATCGCCAGTCCAATTTATCAAAGGCCTTTTCAGCATCCAGAAAGATAAGAGCCGCCGGAATTTGATTATTTTTGTCCAAATATTCCAACAAATTTACTATTTGTCTAACATTGTTCTTCATATATCTACCACTTATAAATCCAGATTGATCCGTGTGTATAATCTTTTGTAATACGTGCATCAATCTATTAGCCAGAATTTTTGCAAAAATCTTATAATCCGTATTCAGTAAGGATATTGGTCTATAATTTTTAGGCTGCGACAAATCTTGATCCTCCTTTGGTATAAGTGAAATAAAAGCAGACCTCCAAGATGGTGGTATCTCCTCTCCTAATAAAATATCATTAAAAAGACTCTTCAGAGGCTCTAACATTTCCTCCGACAAAGTTCTATAATAAATTGCCGTCAGTCCATCAGTACCAGGGGCCTTACCAACCTTCAGTTGCTTAATTGCCTCTAATATTTCCTCCAAAGCAACTATTAGCCATTTTAAACAAAGCAAACTGATGTTAATTCTGCACACCAATGATTTGTTATAGGCTTGAACATTACTGTTAGGGTCAGAAGACTGGTTTGAATTGTTTCACCAGTCAAAAATGTATGGAATAATATTAAGCTATCCTATGCCTCATTCAGGTAGTCAAAAATGGGAGAATTAGACTAGAAAAAAAATCCAAATGTTTGTATGTACATTGGGGCACTACTACTGTATAGAGATTATCCAGCCCAGAAATCTGGATCCGATGAGTACAGTATGCACAGCTTTAATTTCTAGTAATTTACTAACCAGCTAGTAAAAATGTCTGGAAAACTGTCTTTGTTTATTTTTACTTTTAGTGGAGAGGGGATTATTGTTTTTTATTCTTTATTTTGACCAAAGTCACTGAAAGTGACTGGGCAGCCATATAAAATAAACAAATAAACAAATGTGGGAAATAGATACATCCAGTGATGGGATTCAGCCAGTTTGCACCATTTGGGCAGAACTGGTAGCTAATTTTTTGTTGCCCAGGCCCAGAATGGACTTCCGGAAGCGGCATCCACACAGAAAACCAGTTGTTCACATATTTGAATCCCACCATTGGATACCATAAAAATGTTTCCATTCACTGGGTTTTTCTGTTTTTCCAGATCTTGTTCCATTCAGGAGCCTTTGTTCGAGCTGATCTTAATGACTGGGGAATGAGTTTGACAGTAAGGGCACCGAGTAGTGACTTTAACAGGACCAGAGGTTTATGTGGCACTTTTGACAGAAATAGTCAGAATGACTTCCACAGGGCTGATGGGAGCTCTTTATTTTCTCGCCAGAATAGCACAACTGAGGAGAACTTCATAGAAGCCTGGAGGTAAGATTTTAAGTGGCAAGGGATATACTAAAAAAATGAACCACCATTATAAAAATAGTCTATATAAACTCTGTAGCTTGCTTTTGCAGTGATCTACGCAAGAGCTCTGTCCTGCCTTGACAAAAGTACAAGCCAGGATCTTCAGAATGTATCACTAAAAATGTGTTTTTAATCTACAGTATAAACTTTGGAATCATGATGGAAGATGTGTATCCTACTATATGCCTCCCCTTTATGGATTACTGCCTTGTCGTGGCGAAGGGGCTTGCGTAACTCAATGAGGCTATGAGCTATGCCGTGCAGGGCCACCCAAGACGGACAAGTCATAGCAGAGAGTTCTGACAAAATGTGATCCACTGGAGAAGGAAATGGCAAACTACTCCAGTATCTTTGCCATGAAAACCCCATGGACAGTACTAAAAGGCAAAAAGATATGACGCTGGAAGATGAGCCCCTCAGGTCAGAAGGTGTCCAATATCCTACTGGGGAAGAGCAGAAGGCTAGTACTAGTAGCGCCAGAAAGAATGAAGCGACTGGGCCAAAGCCGAAAGGACGCTCAGCTGTGGATATATCTGGTGGTGAAAGGAAAGTCTGATGCTGTAAAAATCTTTTCTCCATAGGAACCTGGAATGTAAGATCCATGAATCAAGGCAAGCTAGACATAGTCAAACAAGAGACGACAAGACTGAACATCGACATCTTAGGAATCAGCGAACTAAAATGGACAGGAATGGGTGAATTTAACTCAGATGACCATCAGGTATACTACTGTGGGCAAGAATCCTTCAGAAGAAATGGAGTAGCCTTCATAGTCAATAAAAGAATAGGAAAAGCAATACCGGGATACAATCCCCAAAATGACAGAATGATCTCAGTTCGAATCCAAGGCAAACCATTCAATATCACAGTAGTCCAAATCTATGCCCCAACCACTGGTGCTGAAGAGGATGAAATTGACTGGTTCTATGAAGCCCTACAGCACCTTATAGAATTAACACCAAAAAATGATGTCCTTATCATCATGGGGGATTGGAATGCTAAAGTAGGAAGCCAAAAGATAACCGGAATAACAGGCAAGTTTGGCCTTGGAGTACAAAATGAAGCAGGGCACAGGCTGATAGAATTTTGTCAAGAGAATACGATGGTCATAACAAACACTCTTTTCCAACAACCCAAGAGACGGCTCTACACATGGACATCACCAGACGGTCAACATAGAAATCAGATTGACTATGTGCTCTGCAGCCAAAGATGGAGAAGCTCTATA